GTGTGCGTGCGTGCGTGTGTGCGTGCGCGTGTGCGTGCGCGTGTGCGTGCGTGCGTGTGTGTGTGCGTCCGTGCGTGCGCGTGTGCGTGCGTGCGTGTGTGCGTGTGTGTGCGTGCGCGCGTGCGTGCGTGCGCGTATGTGCGGGTGTGCGTGCGTGTGCGTGCGCGTGTATGTAATCACCTCGTAGACGCTAGTCAGCCTCAGCTTGAAGTAGATCGGCAGAAACACGTGCGCTGCGAACGGGATGTTGATGATCTGTCCTATAGTAGCTATCATGAACTGAATCCCTCTACAATCAGCAAACAACAAAATATGTTCTGCTTGCATCTATGACAAATACTACATACGCATATACGCTCCACAATCAGCAAACAACAACATATGTTCTGCTTGCATCNAACATACGCATATACGCTCCACAATCAGCAAACAACAACATATGTTCTGCTTGCATCTATGACAAATACAACATACGCATATACGCTCTACAATCAGCAAACAACATGCCATCAAACACCGCGTGGAATAGTAAGTGTAATAGTAATAGTAAATATGGTATAGGTAAGGTAAGGGCAATAGTAAGGGTAATAGTAATAGTAAATATGGTATAGGTAAGGTAAGGGTAATAGTAAGGTAATAGTAATAGTAAATATGGTATAGGTAAGGTAAGGGTAATAGTAAGGTAATAGTAATAGTAAATATGGTATAGGTAAGGTAAGGGTAATAGTAAGGTAATAGTAATAGTAAATATAATATAGGTAAGGTAAGGGTAATAGTAAATATGGTATAGGTAAGGTAAGAGTAATAGTAAGGGCATAGTAATAGTAAATATGGTATAGGTAAGGTAAGGGTATTACTAAGGGAATAGTAATAGTAAATATGGTATAGGTAAGGTAAGGGTAATAGTAAGGTAATGGTAATAGTAAATATGGTATAGGTAAGGTAAGGGTAATAGTAAGGTAATAGTAATAGTAAATATGGTATAGGTAAGGTAAGGGTAATAGTAAGGTAATGGCAATAGTAAATATGGTATAGGTAAGGTAAGTGTAATAGTAAGGTAATAGTAATAGTATATATGGTATAGGTAAGGTAAGGGTAATAGTAAGGCAATGGTAATAGACTAGTAAATATGGTATGGGTAAGGTAAGTGTAATAGTAAGGGAATAGTAATAGTAAATATGGTATAGGTAAGGTAAGTGTAATAGTAAGGGAATAGTAATAGTAAATATGGTATAGGTAAGGTAAGGGTAATAGAAAGGTAATGGTAATAGTAAATATGGTATAGGTAAGGTAAAGGTAATAGTAAGGGAATAGTAATAGTAAACATAGTATAGGTAAGGTAAGGGTAATAGTAAATATGGTATAGGTAAGGTAAGGGTAATAGTAAATATGGTATAGGTAAGGTAAGGGTAATAGTAAGGGAATAGTAATAGTAAATATGGTATAGGTAAGGTAAGGGTAATAGTATGGTAATAGTAATAGTAAATATGGTATAGGTAAGGTAAGGGTAATAGTAAGGTAATAGTAATAGTAAATATGGTATAGGTAAGGTAAGGGTAATAGTATGGTAATAGTAATAGTAAATATGGTATAGGTAAGGGTAATAGAAAGGTAATAGTAATAGTAAATATGGTATAGGTAAGGTAAGGGTAATAGAAAGGTAATAGTAATAGTAAATATGGTATAGGTAAGGTAAGAGTAATAGTAAGGTAATAGTAATAGTAAATAGCGCGCACACACACACGCATACACACACACCCACACACACACACACACACGCACGCACGCGCGCACACAGACACACACCCACACAGACACACACGCACGCACGCGCGCAGACAGACGCACACACACACACACACACACACACACACACACACACACACACACACACACACACACACAC